TGGGCGGAGCACTTCAAAGCCATGTTTGGCTGGCCACAAGCGTCAGATTCTCACACAGCTATTCCTGCAAACGTTCCATGGTTTTTTCCAATAGACCCACATCCAGAGGCGGAAATCCGTAAGAAAATCCAAGCCTTTGGACGTCACAAAGCGTGAGACTCCGATAAATCTCCCCCAGCTCTAATTAAAGAGGTTTGAATAAAGCTTGGTAAAAAGATGATCGCTCTGTTCTCTAAAGTATGTCACACTGAGGAGCCCACCTACCTCGTGGGGGTGAACGGTTCTCGTCTCTATCTTCAAAAGGTGCCCACGCAGTGACTGCACCAGTCATAGGGGCATTAGCCTTATCCCAATAGTATCAAAGGTGCTAGCGTCCGTCATTCTTCGTAGATTGTACAAAACACTTGATGAACATGCCCGCGAGGAGAGGGCTGGGTTTTTCTCGTCAGTCTTGTTGGCATCGACCAAGTCTTCACTCTCTGGCAGTTCCTAGAGCACCGTCATACTTACGATATTTGCGTTCCTAAAAATTCGCGCGGCCTTAAACTCTGTCGATAGGACCGTTCTATTGAACTGTTTTTCAGGTATGGAGTACCTGAGAAGTAGCTGCCTATCCTCAAAGAGTTGTATTTCATGTCGAGTTAGGGCCTATGGTAACTTTTTGCTACCATTTGCGATCTCCCCATACTTCCACAGCTTCGTTATAGCGGATGATCTACAGAACGTTTTGTCCGGTTTAGCAAACCGGAGTCAAAATCCTCCCAGGAAACAGAGTGCTTGACTTAGAATATGCCGATGTCATCGCCTTGTTGGGTGACAAGAAACAGACAGTTCAACACGCTTTAAACTGCTTGGCAATACAGATAACCGAGTATGGTACGTTCAGGTGCACAGTGATGGTTCAAGCCCGGCAGGAGCCTGCGCCTGCACTCACCCTCTGTGGCGATCAGCTTCAGTTATCTCGGGAATTTAGTCACAACTGAATATGATTTTGAGGAAGAGATCAAATCACGAATAGCGAACGTGAGAGTGGCATTTACCAAACTGCGACACCTGCGGCGCCACCATGAAATCCCACTGATCCCTTATGGAAGGGTGTACCTCGTCGCCTTCGGGATGCTGTTGAACTTTCTGTATTCGACTAAAGATGTCTCCGAGGCATTCTCCGAGCCTGGTGGGAACATCGAGTGAGCAATGAAGAGGTTCTTCGTCGTGTGTTGAGTGCAGCTAGGCGTTCTCTAACAGAAGTAATGGCTATCTTTGATGGCTTGATCATGCTTTTCGTACGCCTAACCATCATGAACCTTTCCGTACTTTCTATGCGTTTGCTAGCCAAGGCTGGAATGAGTACCTCGGCAGTCGGATCATACCGGTACGTAGATATATGAAGAATTTAGGCTCAACTTTGGCTTCGTTCGGTGCCTCTCGCCTTTCAGGCTGGGGCCCAAGGGATGCGGATTATCGAGGGTTAGAGACGCTGAGAGATGTGGCTCAGAATAAAAATCATTGGCGGGATCGTTTCGCGGTTTGTTTGCACAGACCCCCGTTCCTCATTACAGAAAAGAAAGGTTTTGCATAAAGAACACGGTGAAACTATGAAAACAATTATTCATTCATTCAATTGGTCCCGCCCCCCCCCCGTTCTCTGTTTTCTCCATTTTCATTTTATCTTTATGTACCCTTTCCGACCATTAGTATTATTGCTTTTGCGATGGCGCTATCCTTGTTCTCAGGCCCGTGCGATATATATATATATATTAAAATAACACAATAAAATGAGCATGACAGACAGGTATCTAAACAAGGAATGAGTATCTTAGTCTGTAAACTTTAAATGACTGGTTGGAGTGTTAACACAGTGCTGAAGTCGCCAGTTCCCAGAAATTTACTATTGCTTAGGGTAACCGAATTGTACTCAATTCCAAGACACCAAGATTCAATTCTATTTAAACGATTTGAAAAAATACACACTTGATGTTATTCATTCTTTGAATCAACGCACAATGCAAATAGATGTTAACCTCGCGTGTGGGAAATTCAATTACCTCAAATCCTCTTAGTTCCATTCAAAATTGCGCACGAGGATGCTACTTTGATTTGACAGGTTTTATGTTGTCGGAGGTGAAGCAATGATCAGCTTGCCCAGTAAGTGGACTCAGGTCAAATAGAGCGAGTGTCAGAATGATGTGGCTTATGCAACCGAATGGAACGAAAGTATCGGAATAATGAAATCAATCTTCATCTTGATCCCTGCTACGTATCCATTCGTCTATCAGTTCCCATTGATCGTCCAATCACGTGACACAGCTTGTCATGACAGCCACTGACTAAAACTCATCCAATCCGTCCTTGTCCATGCGCCCACTTGACCTAATTGTTGGTCATCGTTTAATCGATTGATGTACTCTTACGGTCATTTAGTAAATCGTTAACCCGATTCCGGGCCCCACGCCGTCTGTGTGTTCTCATTTTCTGAGTTGGGTTACGGGTCCTAAATTACGGTGCATAGCGTGGCGGTTGGAATTCGGTCTTAACATTATTGGGAACTGATAGACGAATGGGTAAGTAGCAATCCCATATCCTTAATTTCACATTCGATCTTCTCGGTGCTCAGTTTGGATCGAAAAACTGTCTGCTGAAATCTCTATTCGTCTTCAGACAATATAACACTATACCGAGACTAACAGCTAGTAAGTATCGCAATACAGGACTATCCCAAAGTCTGATTTGCTCGGCCCACGTTCCGAGACATTCGACGGTTTCTCACCAGAAAAAGATGGAAACTGTCTTTCAAAACCCAAAATCTGCCTGTCAAATCTGCGATTTTATGTATTGTTGACTAGTGCTTATGTTACTGTTTGTCCCCTAATACTTTGTTTGACTTCCGACAAAACATCACGAATTGCTGTCCCGATCACCCTAAGCACTGTCTACCTTTAGAGGTGTCTCCAAGGCGGTGATCCCATACAGTCATGNTCTCCTGGTACGCGGATCTCATGTAGGCATTGTCCTTATTCTGTGTATGAACAACTCTGGATCGTGAATACTTACGTTCTATCTGATTATTCACGCTAAATTTTATTGCCTAGAAAACGTTTACGTTACTTGTGCAACCGTCTGCACAACTACTTACTGCCGCATCAGGTACAGAAAAAAAATGAAAAACGTTCAATCAACTATCGACGTGTCTAAATAGGTAGCATTTTCTACATCTACCAGTGGGGTGCCGGGTTCGATCCCCAGATGGGTCGATGGATTTGTAATGCTGATGAGACTTAACCTAGTCAAAACAGTTGTCTAGCGCTTTTAACCTCTTCAGTTCTATTTTGTTGTTCTATGTACGCGATAATATTAGGCATGTAAGGCGTCAATTCATTGAGCAATTATTCCAGTTCTTTTGTTCTTCACTAAACGTTTATTCCGTCCTGAAGCTAGAATACTCTCTCGGGATTTTAGAGTACAAGGACCTACCGGTAATACTGCTCCCTTTGTTAAAAATTCAGAACTGATGACGCGTGTTTGCATGAACCATAGTTTGAAGTTATACTTGAGTTTTGCTAGATTAATCTCTCCGATTTTAAAATGCCAAAATGCGAATCGACTAAATAGTCCTTTGTTTTCAAGCGCCATAGATGTTTCGCTTTGTGCCTTTGAGTTACCCTCGTTCTTGCATGGTGGTCATGTCTCTGAAAAAACATTCACTGAGATTCTAATCAATGTTCCTCTATCCATTGCAGTAGCATAATAGCAAGTGTCTTCTTAGCTGACTGCTCATTTTCTAAGAAAACAAACTTGACACCAGAGAGCCTCACTGAAGAAGACCTGAGGAAGGCCATAAAAAATTAGAGTAATCTTCATCTAGGTTCTGAAATGTTCTGATTATCAATGGGACAAAAAACAATGAGATAGGATGCAATTTGTATTTATTGATGATATCAAAGCATTTTGGTGAAATGTATTGGTCTACAGCATTGATGGCCTAATAGTCATCATCCCAATCCGGTTTATGCTTCTTCCAGGATTCGCCACCAAAGACAACCGGTTTCTCGCTCACCGTCAAGTAATCGTCATCGTCGTAATGCTTCTTCTTCTTCCACGATGCGCCACTCACGACTACCGGCTTCTTGCTCACCGTCAAGTAATCGTCGTCGTCGTCGTATTTCTTCTTCTTCTTCCACGATGCGCCACTCACGACTACCGGCTTCTTGCTCACCGTCAAATAATCGTCGTCGTCGTATTTCTTCTTCTTCTTCCATGACGCGCCGCTCACAACTACCGGTTTCTCGCTCACCGTCAAGTAATCGTCGCAATACGACTTACACTTCTTTTTCATCCACGACGCTCCACTCACGACTACCGGTTTCTCAGACGCTGTGAGGTAGTTATCGCAATACGACATACACTTCTTTTTCATCCCCGATGCCCCTGCAAGCACAGTGGAGCCTCTGGTCCGTTTGTGTTCGATCAACACTCCAGACGGTGCAGCTGAGAGGAACAAAGACATGCGAACGTGCGACACATTTCCGATAATAATGATGGATGTAATGGTACGATTTTGGTTATTGTTTACCGTAAAATATCAATGCACTTACATGTGCTAATGGTTGTCGGGACGGTCACGGACTCAGATATCACGAATGCGAATATCAGTAGACCGGTGAGCGGTATCAACCGGGACATTGTGGAGTGAACTGCAACCAATGGTAAAGAAACAGTATTAGTGGGACGAAATGTGACACAAAACAGAACGAGTTACATTTGCTGGAGCACGTACTTGGTCAGTTTTCTTGCTCCACTTGGCCGCATGTATTTAGCTGATAATTTCATCTCAATTTATAGACTATGCAAACCTAAATTGTGACTGTTCTGTGATTCTATTGGGCAGTTACACATCGACACAGTCTCGGGTCGGCCAATCAAACTGATGACCGCAGCTGATTAGGATTAGAGAGAAGTCGAATTCGTGTCGAGGTCGTTGCATGGCTGATTAAGGCGACCTTCAGCGTTCGGTGACCTTCAATTATCAGCCAATTTCGCGATACACTGCACTGTACGAATGGAGTCAGAGCCACTATCAGACAGACGTGTGCCGTACATAATAATTGAAGAAATGAAGAAGAGGTGATTGTATTAATTTGTCTGGAGAAAGTTGTTTTCACCACCATAACTTGGATCACAGTTTCTTCGGTTTCCTCACTTCGAACAGACGGCAACCCGAACTGTGTTTTACCGCATTTCCTTATTCCGTTTTCTGAATCGTAAATGTGGATGATTCATGCCTCGGAAAGCCTCAGTATGATCGAGGGGGTGTGTGTGTCTATGGTTGCGGCTGGTCACCCTCCATTGCTCCTCGCGAAATACGGCCAAGCGTCGCGAATAGCATCTGCACAGAAAGCCCTACTCACTGCCTTTTCGTGGCGGAGGTGTTTTCTCACTAAAGTGAGAGGACCGAAAGCCAACATCCGGGGCTATAACCGGGTTGGTGAGCCACTGGTAGTCCACCAATGGGGAGTTAGTCAAAGACCCTGATTCCCAATCAACCATGAGAAGGCATACGAAACACACCTGCACCCTTTCGGTTGTGGCAGTGGTCACCGGTTCCATTGGGCATTGATGTGTATTGGGCACCTTGGACGTCTAACCCCGTCCAAAGGGCTTATCATCCGATGACCTGAACACCAGCTCCCAATCGATTGTGGTTTTCACACACCGCCCCACTGGCTTGCGGATCAGGCTTTGGCTAGCCGAAGGTTTCATTTGTGGATTCCTCAAGAAAATTCACCTGCCTTGGCCTGGGCAACCTGGCAGTATTCAGCCGACGAGACAATCATGGAACTTTTTTTCCTTTTTATAAAGATTATTGTACCATGATTTGCTTAGCACACACTTTGTTCTCAGAGAGGTGTGAAATATATAGGTATCAAAACAAGGAATATGCCCATTGATTAAAAACACAGTGTAGGCGAATATATGTTTTCGGTGAATTCCTTTTCAAGCATTTACAATCAAATTTACATGAAACAATTTCAACAGGATTAAACGGAAAGCTGAACGAGTCATGTGTTTCTCAATGAGCCCAAGAGAACTCAAAATTTGTGCAAAATTTGGATCAAATAACCAAAGTGGTTACGTCATGGTGTTACGTCATGGTCGTGTGAACAAGCGATTTTCTCTTCCCCAGTCCATGGGAGTTTGAGAGCTTGAATCCATTTGCGTTGTGCGCACAGCTCAGGCTTCATGAGTCAGATGCCATTCGCCTCCGCGGTTGCTAGCGTCCGAAACCGTATTGTCCTCGAGGGGTGTGGTGAAACTCGATAGATGATTG